CTAGTGCTTGGAGGGCGGAGTCCAGTGGTCCTCACTAGGCACGCGGACGCTTCTTGGGCTGACGACCTGGCTACTCAGCGGTCGTCACAGGGTTACACCTTCAGTCTTGGTTCCGGCTCTGTTTCGTGGCGGGCTACTCGCTCGTCTTCTATACTCGGCTCCAAATGTGAGGCTGAGATCTACGCCGGGACCATGGCTACTCAGGAGCTTTGCTGGCTCACCTACCTGTTGACTGACCTTGGAGAGCCGCCTCGTTCTCCTCCAGTGCTGTACGTAGATAACAAGGCCATGCTGGCCTTTTGTCGAGAGCAGCGCCTGGAGCACAGAACGAAGCACATTGCTCTCTGCTACTTTCTTGCTCATGAGCTGCAGCAGCGTGGTCAGTTTCGACTTGCGTACGTGGCCTCTGAGGCCAACACTGCTGATGTTTTCACCAAGGCACTTCCGCCTTGTGATCATGAGCGCTTCTGCACTCAGCTGGGACTTGTACCTGTCTTACCTCACTTGCTCACCTCTTGATCTTACTTGTACTCTTGCATATATATATATACCTGTGAAATCAAAGAACGAGAATGAATGACTATGAAGTGAAGTGAATACAAATAGGAAACCCTAATTGTGTTGTACCCCCTATGGGATACCCCACTATAGCCTACAGAAACAAGTAAGCTATATGTTCTGACACACCCCCATAGGCAAAGTGGGGGAGAACAAGGGGTCACAAGACCAGTCAAGCAAAGCAAAGCAAAGCTCAGGGTGGATCATAAAGTCACCACGCATTCCGAGCACAAGTTCAAAGGCCAGAAGGCCAGTTCACATGCAAGATCATATATAGAGATATACAAGAGTCAAGCAAGCAAGAGCAAGAGTATATATAGGCGAAGGTACAAGCAAGGTCAAGAGGAGAGCAAGTGAGGCAAGACAGGCACAAGACCCAACTGCGTGCAACAACGCTGATGATCACAAGGCGCAAGTGCCTTGGTGAAGACATCAGCAGTGTTGGCCTCAGAGGCCACGTACGCAAGTCGCAACTGTCCACGCTGCTGTAGCTCACGAGCAAGAAAGTAGCGGAGAGCAATGTGCTTCGTTCTGTGCTCCAGTCGCTGCTCTCGACACAAGGCCAGCATGGCCTTGTTGTCTACGTACAGGACTGGAGGAGAACGAGGCTGCTCTCCAAGGTCGGTCAGCAGGTAGGTGAGCCAGCGTAACTCCTGTGCAGCCATAGCCCCAGCGTAGATCTCAGCCTCACAACTGGAGCCGAGAACAGAAGACGAGCGGGTAGCCCGCCACGAGACAGAGCCGGAACCAAGGCTGAAGGTGTAACCCTGTGACGACCGCTGCGTAGCCTGGTCGTCAGCCCAAGAAGCGTCTGCGTGCCCAGTGAGGACCACTGGACTGCGCCCTCCAAGCACTAGCCCCATGCCCGACGTACTGCACAAGTAGCGCAACACCCTCTTCGCTGCAGCCATGTGCTCTGGTCGGTGTCTCCCAGGAGCAACAAAGCGTGCGAGAATGCTAAGAGGGTATGCGAGGTCAGGTCGTGTGCAGGTCATCAGGTACATGAGGCAGCCAACAAGCTCTGCAAACGGGCCACTCGACTCTACGGACTCATCCGAAGGCAGAGCTGAGAGCGAGTGGCGAGTAGGCAGAGGAGTGGCCTGAGGCGAGGAGTACGTGAAGCCGAAGCGCTGAAGGACCTGCTGCACCATGTGTGACTGAGTCAGGGTAATGGTGCGGCGTGCTCTGTCCCGGGTGATCTGCAAGCCAAGGTAGCTGCGCAGTTCACCCAGGTCAGTGCACATGTGTCTCTTCTGCAGCTGGGACTTCACGTAGGCGAGTCCAGCAGTGTCAGCTGTGGCAAAGACCAAGTCGTCGACGTACACGAGGATGTAGAACGGCGGCAGAGAGGTGTCGGTGCGCAGAAACAGCGACGGGTCGGCAGTAGAAGGAGCAAACCCAAGTGCCGCGAGCGTAGTCCTCAGTGTGTCGTGCCACTCACGTGGCGCCTGGCGGAGACCATAGACTGGACGCCGGAGACTCCACTGGGTACCAGGAGAGAAAGACCCAGTGAAGCCAGGTGGGCCACGCAGCCAGATCTCCTCGTGCAGGCTGCCCTGCAAGAAAGCTGTGCTGAAGTCGAGAGAGTGCAGCTCGTAGTCACGGTGAGCAGCAACGTGCAGCAGAACCCGAAGAGTGGTCATCTTCGGGGTGGGGGAGAAGGTCTGAAAGTAGTCAACCCCCTGCCGCTGACTGAAGCCACGAGCCACGCAACGCGCCTTGAAGACAGGCGGAGAACCCGGCGGCCGCTTCACCCTGAAAATCCACATGCCACTGACGATGTTCGCCCCAGGAGGGGGAACAGCGTCAACGTAGGTGCCTGTGGACTTCCAGGAAGCCATCTCTGCATCCATAGCTGCCTGCCACTGAGAGGAGTAGGGACCCTCTATCGCCTCCGCGTAAGAGCGCGGAGTCGGGATGTCTGGTGCATCCGGGTCTCCCTCAGGGGCTAGCAGTACAGACGCGAGACGAGGTGAAGCGGCGGCCAGACACTGGAACTCCTCCTGCCTGTCCTCAAGGACGTCCGTGCCAAGGGCACACTCACCCCCGACGGACGGAGGACAGGCGGACTCAGACTCAGTGACAAGACGAGCAGCGTAGTCTAGACGACAGCGCGCAGCATAGTCCACAAGCTCAGTGACAAGGGCAGACGCAGCAGACGACTCGAAGGAAGGGTCAGTGACAGCAGTAGCAAGGAGACGCGTGACAGTAGGACTGGCAACACGAAGAGAGTCCGACTCCGGGTCGGCAAGAGCAGGAAGAGAGGAAGCAGGAGGAGAAGGCAAAGGGGCACGCAGAGGAGCAGTGGACGGACGCAGTGACATCCGGTACGTGCCAGGGGCAGGAGGAGGACGCTGACGCGACCCGCGACCACTAGCGCGCTCAGTACGAACAGGCGACACAGGACGAGACGCAGGCTCACGACGCTCAGTAAGACCTCCAGACGGACCAGTGTAGGGAGAAGGAGCAGGCAAAGGGGAGGCAGGCTGTAGCTGTGGCTATGACCGGACAGGCTGCGGACCCTATAAGGGAGGAGGAGGAGGAGGTGGAAGACCAAGAACCTGCTGCAGGAGCGGAACGAAGTACGGTCGGGGCCGCGCGGCGACACTAGAAACAGCAGGAACAGCACCAGCAGCCCCGGCAGGAACACCCACTCCAGCAGCACCTCCAGCAGCACCACGAGAAGCTCCAGAACCTCCAGCAGCACCACGAGAAGCTCCAGAACCTCCAGCAGCAGCACCAGGAGCACTGTCAGTCGGACCTCCAACGGCAGGCTCAGCGCCAACACCCTCAGCAGTACCAGCTCCAGGAGAACTCTCAGACCCAGCAGCTCCAGCACCCACAGTACGAGCATCGGCGGGACGCGCGGCAGCAGTACCCTCTGCAGCCGAAGAACCACTAGCACCAGCAGCACGCCTCCAGCGCCTGGCAAACCACTCACGCAGCTCCTGTGGGGAGAGTGGCTCCCAGCGACACGAAGCACCCCAAGGCACAGCACCCCCAGGCTTAGCACCCCCAGACACAGCACCCCCAGGCACAGCACCCCCAGGCTCGGCACCTCCAGGCTCAGCATCCCCAGGTACAGCACCCCCAGGCGCAGCACCCCCAGGCTCAGCACCCCTAGGCACAGCACCCCCACGCACAGCACCCCCAGGCTCGGCACCTCCAGGCTCAGCACCCCCAGGCTCAGCACCCCCAGACTCCGCACCCCCAGGCTCAGCTCCCGCAGCAGCACCAGAGTCACCAGTGACCTCGACAGGCTCGACCGCGTCTACCTGGGACACACCTGAAGGGGCAGGACCCTGAGGGGGGAGGGGGGCTACCGGGGGGGGACCTGGCACCAAGAAGAGCGGGGGTGGGGGGAGGGACGGAGTGCGGTAGGGGAAGAGGCGGTAGTAGGGTACCGACTCGTCGAACGTGACGTCCTGGGAGGACAGAACACGTCGAGAGGTGGGGTGGTAAAACTGCCACCCAGGGGCGTCGGGGGGGAACCCCAGGAAGACGCAGGGAGAAGCACGAGGGGACAGCTTGTCCGCAGACAGGTCGCGAACAAACGCCCGAGATCCCCAGACCCGGAACGCCGACGCATCGCCAACCTTCCCCGTCCACAGCAGGGCTGGGGAGGTCTCCGGTCGAGAGACCCTGGGGTGGAGGTTGATCTGGTGCGCAGCGTACCTGACCGCAAACGGCCACAGAAAATGGGGAGCAGCCGCATGCATCATGGACGTACGAGCGACGTCCATGACCATGCCAATGCGGCGCTCAGCAATCCCATTCTGCTGTGGTGAGTCCGGAAGCGTGAAGGTGTGACGGATGCCTCGCGCACGACAGTAGGCACTCAGGAGGCCAGAGGAGAACTCTCCGCCTCTGTCCGAGTGCAGACGCAGAACAGGGAAGTCAGGGCCAAAGCTCCTCTGAAGCTGGAGACGAGCTGCGCGGATCTAGTCGATCAACACCTCAGTGACCTCACCCTTGCTGCGCAAGGGGAAGACTGTGGTGTAACGCGAGTAGTCGTCAACCACGGGCAGGAAGTAGCGCTCTTGACCCTGTCCACGGACGCGGGCTGGGCCCCACACGTCCATGTGAAGCGTCTGCAACGGGGCCTTTGTCGGAGGAAACTGGGAGGAGTGAGGGGCAGCACGCTGGCGCCCCTCGACACAGGGGACACAGGTAGGGCCAGGGCCCGGAGGAAGGGGAGGGAGAGACCGGGGAAGACCAGACACAAGGACTCGCGAGGCCATGCCTCTGAGCCGAAGCAGAGAGGGGTGGCCAAGGCGGTGGTGCCAGAGGAGGGTCTCGTGAGACAGACGACGACACGAGCAGGGGGCAGACTCAGGACCAGACCTGGACGCTGCAGCAAACACCTGACCAGACGAAGGGACCCTACCAGACGTAGCACCTGGAGGAGAAGCAGTGGTCAGTGTGTACAGGCTCGACCCTGGTCAACGTGTAAACGTAGCCAGGTGGCGACCTGTATCCGCCTCCGTGCAGTGGGTCACCCGCTGACGAGCAGGGGTGAACTGGTGGACACCCGCATCCTGGAGGTCAGCACCACTCACCAAGTTCGTCGAGAACGAGGGGAGGTAGAGACCAGTCAGGGTGCCAGAGGGGGCCGCCGGACACGAGAGGACAGTGGAGAAGCGAGACAGGACAGGCCCCCCAGAGGGGTCAGCCAGGGACACCGCAACCGGCCGACTCAGCGGCGTGAGAGTGGTGCGGTCCCTAAAGAAGGAGCGAGACGCTCCAGAGTCAAGGGTGAAGGTGTGAGAGGCCGAAGCCGACACAGTACCTGAGAGGGCAGACTCACCAGCACCTGAGAGCACAGACGCACTGGCACCTAGAGCAGCAGCCTCAATAGTACCTGACGCGGCAGTACCAATGCCCGGGTTGGGCGGGAAACACCGGTATCAGTCATCCTCATCACTACCAGTCACAGCATACATAGCAGAGAGAATAGCATCAAAATCAAGATCATAAATAGCTACACCAGCCCTAGACAGCTCTCCCCAGCGGGGGATCTCAGCGGCCTCCGGAAACTGCTGACGCCAGGCGTCGGTCAGGCGGCCAAAGCAGCGGCGGGCTGTGTGGGCGCCTCCACACCTCTCCCCTGCACGGTCACCGGTGCGAAGAACGTAGGGGCAGGGACCAAGCGCACCACCACGCTGACGCTGCAAGTACCACTCACGGAGCTGCTGAGGGGCGAGGACGGTGCGAGAGCGCTGCTGCTGCTGTGGCTGCTGCTGCGGCTGCTGCTGCTGCTGCTGCTGGCGCTGACCACCCCCAGAGCTGCTCCGCTGGGACGAGCCACTCCGACCCCCGCCTCCACCGCCACCCCCGCCTCCACCGCCACCCCCGTCTCCACCGCCACCTCCCCCACCAGGACCGTCGCTCCCACCGCTCCCACCGCCTCCTCCGCTACCACCTCCGCCGCCACCTCCGCCTCCACAGCCGCCACCAGTACCTCCACTCCCGCCACCACCCCCACCGCCACCCCCACTCCCCCCGCCACCCCCACCGCCTCCTCCACCGCCCCCTCTAGCTCCACCCGCTCCCTTGCCCCCCTTGCCCTTGCCAGAGCGGCGTCTGCCGCTGGGGGCAGACGCCGCGCCGACCGACTCAAAACCAGCGAGGTCGGCCGCAGCGGCAGAGGCGACAGAGGGCAGCAGGGGGGAAGGACCACACCCCTCAAAGATGGGGGTGCGAGGGTCACCCTGAGAGGCCCCTACAGCGACAATACTCTTCTCAGCCGCTAGGAGGGACTCCTCAAGGAGGTCGACAGTGAGAGTGGTGGGACAGACAGAGAGAAACTGGTCCCTAACGACACGAAGGGACTCAGGGAGACGGGTGACGAGAAAGTAGAGAGTGATGTACATGGGAGGAGGGTTCGCAGCGCGGAACTCAGCAGGAAGGGCAGCGCGGTAGCGGGTGTCACTAGCACGGAGGTGGGTAACGAGGTCAGCGACAGTGGGAAAGGAAGCGAGGTCAGGGAAGAGAAACGGTAGCATGAGGCGGCTAAGGGTAGCGGAGGAAGGGGAGGAGTAGCGTGCAACTACAGCGTCGTACAAGGCCTGAGCGGTCTTGCACTGACTAAAGTGGGCACGCTCAGAGGAAGGGAGGTGGCGACGCACAGCAAGACGTGCAGCAGCATCGCGGGTCGCCCACTTGGAGCGAACGGCAGAGTCAGCAGCAGCAGGTGGGGCAGGGACAGCGCCAGAGACAAAGTCAAAGAGAGAGACCTCATCTATCGCATCACACTGTAAGTACAGCTGCAGGTCTTCAATCCAGACGGCAAAGTCAATGGCCCTCCCCTCAGCGTCAAAAGTAAGAACATTGGGGGTGGCCATGGCAGCAGCTGAAAGTCTCACCGGGCTGGGAGAGTCGGGTAGGTCAGTAGCAGAGGAACACAGCTCAAGAACAGCAGCACGGCTCCTCAGGCGGCTCGGGCGGCTCGGGCGGCTCGGGCGGCACGGGCGGCTCGGGCGGCTCGGGCGGCTCGGGCGGCTCGGGCGGCTCGGGCTGCTCGGGCGGCGGCTCGGCTGCAGCTCAGCGGCGGCTCGGCGGCGGCTCGGGCGGCGGCTCAGGTGGCCCGGGCGGCGGCTCAGGCGGCGGCGGCTCGGCGGCGGCTCGGCTGCTGCTGGGCGGCTCGGCTGATGCTGGGCGGCTCGGCGGGACCGCGTAGCTGAGGGTGGCGGGGCCGCGTAGCAGAGGGCGGCGGGGCCGCGATCGAAGGGCGGCGGGGCCGCGACCGAAGAGGGCGGCGGGGCCGCGTAGCAGAGGGCGGCGGGGCCGCGTAGCAGAGGGCGGCGGGGCCGCGTAGCAGAGGGCGGCGGGGCCGCGATCGAAGGGCGGCGGGGCCGCGTAGCAGAGGGCGGCGGGGCCGCGTAGCAGAGGGCGGCGGGGCCGCGTAGCAGAGGGCGGCGGGGCCGCGTAGCAGAGGGCGGCGGGGCCGCGTAGCAGAGGGCGGCGGGGCCGCAATCGAAGGGCGGCGGGGCCGCGTATCAGAGGGCGGCGGGGCCGCGTGGCAGAGGGCGGCGGGGCCGCGTAGCAGAGGGCGGCGGGGCCGCGATCGAAGGGCGGGGGGGGCCGCGATCGAAGGGGGGCGGCGGGGCCGCGTAGCAGAGGGCGGCGGGGCCGCGATCGAAGGGCGGCGGGGCCGCTAGGGAAGGGCGGCGGAGCCGCTAGGGGAAGGGCGGCGCAACGGGCCGCTAGGGGCGACACGACGTGTCGCTAAAAAAAAAACGCGCCTCGGGGCGCGGTTCGGTGGGCCCTAGAAGCAGTCCCTAGGAGGGAACCTGCTCTGATTCCATGTGAAATCAAAGAACGAGAATGAATGACTATGAAGTGAAGTGAATACAAATAGGAAACCCTAATTGTGTTGTACCCCCTATGGGATACCCCACTATAGCCTACAGAAACAAGTAAGCTATATGTTCTGACAATACCTGTTCTTGTTTATTTAGTGTTATATATATATGTGCACTCCTGCATGTGAGCTGGCCTTGTGGCCTTGACCTTGTGCTCGGACTGTGTGGTGACTTTGTGATCCACCCTGAGCTTGCTTTGCTTTGCTTTGCTTGACTGGTCTTGTGACCCCTTGTTCTCCCCCACTTTGCCTATGGGGGTGTGTCATATATATGACATAGCTATTGTAGGCTATAGTGGGGTAGCACATATGGGGTACAGCTTTCTAGGGTTTGTATTTGTACCCAACTTTCACTTAGTCATCCCCATTCTCGTTCAACTTTTCTCAATCACCTGCCGCCGAATCTCCATTTTTAACCCTTCAGTGTACGCCTGGATTTTTTCGCCTTCGGTTAGGTCGGTGATGCGGTTGAACAGTAACTCCATCCGCTGCGTGTACTTTGTTACACTACAGTATTGCTTGTGTCAATGTATGTGCTGCCGCGCCATGTAGGTTGTATTAATTGGTTCGAAACACTCGATTAAACCTGCCCGAAATTGCTGCCACGTTTTCTCCCTGCGGGCTACGTTGGTGTAGTAAATCCATTAGAGAGCTGGTCCACGTAACAGTGTCGCTGCAAGCCGAATCCTTGCTGCGTCTTGTTGCGGGGTCGAACAGCGAATGGCCTCGAAGTAAATTTTGAGGGTGGCCACGAATCGCCGAACGTCGGATCCCTTCGCGCTTGGATCGAACGCCTCCGGGAGCCTCGGTCGTGCTGCTTCGAGGTTCGGCGACAGTGGTGCCATTGGTCCGTGAAATGTCGGTGTCCCCACTGCTGCTCGAGTTGTCGGTGCTGCAGTCGCTATGGTTGCTGCTGCTGCGGTGGCGAACCCTGGTTGGCTTGTCAGAAAAGCCTCGAGTCGACGAAGCGTCGCCTGCGTCTGCTCCATGTCGGTGCGGAGGCTCGCGATGTCGCTCGTAGTCGCGTAGTTGTCGCCTTGGCCCTCCATGCCTTTCATCAACGCGTCCGAAAAACCGAATCGAGGGGGAGCAAAAAACACGGAACCGGTTTTACGTACCCGAAATCGATGTTTGACTGCGTCGCCCCCGCAGTTTTTGAAGACTGGTTTTTTAGCGGTCGAAAGAACTTCGCGTGTAAACGGGCTCTGCTTACCAAGTGTGAGGATCTAGGATCGAGTTCAGAAAAGAGAATGAGAATTGAGTCGAATTGAATATGATCACCTGGGTACAACACGAGGCTATATATAGGCTTGACACAAGGCCCCGTAACCAGGTGTTACGCGAAGGTTCCGCGGGCCGTGTAGCGTCCCGAACGGATCCTTACCGAATTCGGTAGAAGGCAATTCGGTGGCAACCGAAAAGCCAGAATTCGGTGCACGCAACCTAGCTCGGTGCTATAACTATAATAAATTTAGGAAAGCACCTAGCCTAGGAAATCAAGCAATTCATGCATGCATATAATTATCCTATGCTAGAAATATCATGATAAAGTAAAGGCAAGCAAGCATAGCTGGCATAAGCCGTTGTACTCTCACATTTACGTTCTCATAACTTCCTTTGTTTGTAGGTGAATTTGGCAAGAGTTTCATTGAGAAAAGAGAACAAGTTACACAATGGCAGAACAAGTTGATATATGTCACAGAACATAAAGGTAAAAGCATTATGTTCTATTACATGCTTGTGAGGTGTAGAGGGGTGTAGCTTGTAGTATTCAGTTTCAGCGAGGGTTGGTTGGGTTCTGGAGGGTGACGCGAAGTTGGTAGAATAGGGCACTGCTGGGTACAAAGGGGTTGGATTCAGAAAGCCTCGAGAGACAAGAAATCAGGATCGGCCAATCCAAGGCCCAGGCGACTCGAGCCCAATTCACTCGCCAAGAAATTGGCAACACGGGTGAGGGTGAATAAAGTAGCCTAGGGTAGCAATCGCATCCCTGTTCTCTGTTTCATACTTGTACTTGGTAGTGGTTGAGTACGAAGAAGGGAATCTGGGGACAGGGACAAGATAGATGCAAGGGTGAGAAGGAGAAAGCAGCAGGAGTACAAGGACAGAAGCAGGTAACGCAAGAGGGGTTTCTCCGACATATATCATGAACAATATGCAACAATTCCTAGCTGCCTAGCAAGTCGTAAGATGGCGGCACGCAAACGCAGCTGGAAGGTGGCTTGCCAACGCTGCAGCAAAGCAGGTTGCCAGCGTTGCATCAAGGCGACTTGCCAACGCTGCAGCAAGGAGGCCTGCCAGCGTTGCAACCGCAAGTGACCATGTGCGCACCTACCAAAGTAGGTGCAGATCTGCTGAACAGACGTTTGCGTGGACATTGCGCAAGTGCCAAGTTGTCAATCACGTGAAGCTCGTCTCGTAGGTCAACGTTCGACAAAATCTCATCGGACGAAATTCACATGCCCCGCATAACTTCGCCGACCAATTACCTCGTGGACCAGAAGTTGGCCACTAAGTCGCTGCTGACTTCGGCGGTCGGTCGACGATCGTAGGTCGGCGCCATGTTGACGAACACCTATGTCGACTGCCGAGGCCCGACGGCGTCTACTGAC